GAGGGGAATCATGAGTCAGATGGAGGACCTGAGCTCAGAGGGGCCCCAGAGGAATATATACACGTCCACGATGTAATAGGAGGCCTTGGTGGTTGGTAAAGTCATTGACCGAGCCCTCTTGAAGTTCCTGTAGACGTTGCTTGGTTGGCTCGAATCTCTTCAGCCAGCGAGCAAGTGGTTATGGCTGCAAAGACTGAAGGAGGCAGGATCGGTGAAATCGGGGTTTCTTCAGAAGCGGGAACGGCGTATTCTGGTTTGCGGGACAAGGCATCAGCTTTCTGATTCTGGGTATGCGGGACATAAGTAATATGGAAGTCGAACCGGGAGAAAAAGAGACTCCATCGGATTTGGCGTTGGTTAAGGCGTCGGGCTGTTTGTAAGTGTTCCAGGTTTCGATGATCTGTCAAAACTTGGACTGGGTGATGGGCCCCTTCAAGGTAATGCCTCCAAACCTTGAACCCTTCTGTTACCAGGTCTTCGGATGCACTCATGACACTATCCCCCTCCCCAGGACTCCCCCCTTCAGATGGGCCGTTTTGATGGTCAAAAGTTCTCGCTCCCAGATGGTGTAATTATGCTCCGAGGGTGTGAACTGCTGGGAGTAGAATGCACAGGGCTGCAGTGGTTGTGAGGGGTCCTCCCGCTGGGACAGTATTGCGCCCAGGGCAACACTGGAGGCATCTGTTTCCATAGTAAATGGAAGCCGGGGATCCAGATAGCGTAGGATGGGCTCAGTGGTAAAATGGGTCTTTAGGGTGGTAAAGGCATGATCTGCCTTTGGAGTCCAAAGGAACGGCTCTGGCGTGGTTACATCCGCGTAAGATGGTATGAACTGATGGTAATAATTTGCGAAGCCGAGAAACCGTTGCACATCCTTTCGATTCCGAGGTTTCTGCCAGGTCAATACCGTCTCGATCTTCTTTGGGTCCATCTGGATCCCTTGGGGCGATAAAATGTGACCCAGGAACTTGACTTCTTGCAGGTTAAATTCGCATTTCTCCAGCTTGGCGTAGAGGCGATGTTCTCGTAACCGTTGTTATGTCATGTTCTCATGACATCCAGCAGATCTTTCCAGAAGACATCAAGTCCCTTTTCCAACACTGCCTAACGACCAACTATATTCCAGTGGGATAATGAATTCTATGAACAGACAGATGGAGCGGCCACGGGGAGCCCCCTCAGCCCGGTTCTAGCAAACGTCTTTTCTCCTGAAAAGGACAAAAAGCTGATCCCACTGCTATAAATACTCAACTATCCCACAAAACTGCACCAGAGCACAAAGTTCTGACTCCTGTCCTCTGAAGATGCCAGAGAGACTGACGAAACGTTAGGAAGAAAAACCTCAAGAACACGGCCAGACAGCCCGTTAGACCTACAACAACCATCGGTCCATCATATCTTTCAGTTTTCTTTGCTGTAACTGTTATACACTGTTTTAATTCTTCCATAGTTTCAACAATTGTTTTCCTTACTAGGTCATATAGTTTACATTGTCTGGCTTTTACTTTTTCATTTTTAGGTTTTGAATCTTTCAAGCGTTTTAAGTTGCTAATGTCTGGACGTAATTTGCTTATTTTCCATTTCCGAGTGCCAGGAGGTTTCTGTTGTTGTTGTTGTTGTTTTTTTGCAGCTTTTAATGAAGTTCCATGGTTAATAAGGTAGGTGTGCTATACATGAGCTGGTTTGGTCCCTTTAGCATATTGGTTGGGATTGTTCTGATTACTACATTTGCATCTGTCCATAGAGCTTTTAC